TTTTGCTTGAGATTCAGAGTGATTCCAGAGGATTCTGGTGAAGACAAAGAAAATGTAATTAAAGCTTTATCATTTTTTTTTCCAACGGGATGAAGAGGATTCAAAGGCAGAAATTGATAAAGCTTATAAAATAAATACATGATTTGTGAGAATAAGAAATATTCTAAGGGATATCCTGGTGCATTTTATCAGGAAGAAGACAAAAGTTCAAGTTTTGCAACAGCATTTTAATACAAGATTAAAGATTGATAACACAGATGTAATTGTGCTTTTAGAAATTCCAATTAGAATACTGCGTAAAAGAAAAGAGAACTTCTTTCTGACTGATAGACTTAAACAGAAAAAGATTCCATTTTGATGGGAAGGAGTGATTTTTACTTTTAAACGGCAGAGATTTTGACTGAATTCTGTTTAGAAGGAGAGAGATATGTGGGGTAGAAGTCAATCTACATGGGGCTAAGACTCTGATATTGGGAATTTATGCCCGAAATGAGGACAAAGTATTGTTTTATAAAGGACTTATGGATAGACTAATGGGCTTTTCTTATGAAAATTGGTGTTTAATGGGGGATTGGAATAGAGTGATTTCTTCACAAATAGAACTTCAGAGAAAAATATTAAAATTAGACAAGGCCAAATTTACCAAAAGTTTTTTTTGACTTGATGGACAATTTAGGGCTTGTTGATATATGGAAACATAAAAATGGCAATTCAAGAGAGTATACATATTTTTCTGAAAGACACAGATCTTTTTCAAGAATAGATATGATTTGGATTTCAAAGAATTTGGTTACCAAGTTTCATGAAGTATAGACATTCCAAAGACTTTTTCAGATCATAATCCAGTAAGTTTGGTTTATAAAAGGAAACCTCAGATGAAGGTTAAATGAAATGCTGTTACAGAAAGAAGCAATAGTGGAGGATTGTACAAAGAAGTTAAAAGAGTTCTTTGAAAATAATTTAGATAAAGAGACTGTTGTGAGAATTGTTTGGGATGCAAGTAAAGCTTTCATTAGAGGTTATTTCATACAATGTGACAATGGGACAAGAATGACACAGCAAAGATCATGCAGTGTGTCTCTTCAGATCACCGCAGCAAATCACCAAACGGCTTGTACACATTATCCTTATCATCATGTGGGACTTCAAGCATTACCTAATGGTGTAATGAGTATCTGCACAGGATACATAGTCTTTACAAATATTAAACTATTAAATGAGTATTGTCCTCTGCTAAGCAACATGTTAGAAATATTTCATTACCTTGAATGTCATCATTGAAAGTGCAGTACAAGTTGCGATATTTATTCAGAAGACGGAATGCATTTCGGTTAGCAAAATCTTCATACTGAATGAGGCAGTTTCTGCCATACCTAGAGGTACAAAACATTATAAACTTAAAATGAAAGCAGTAAAATTAAACTATATTCATTAATAACATATGATTGCTCATCCTATTTTTCCAATTACATGTGATCATGCTTACATGTTTCAGAAAGTACAATACAGCAAATTTTTCTAATTTTCTGATTAGGAATGATGAACTATATAGATGAAATGATTATCTAGATCCAAACAATTTAAACCCTTTTGATTGGAATGAGGTAGTAGTTCAGTATTTCACAAGTAATAAATTAAATGACATTATTATAATTGTTTAAAGTCTAATAGGAAAAAAAAATTACACTCTGAATATATGTGAAATAAAGATAACAAGGCTGATACTGTAAATTGTTATCAAAGGACTAGGCATTAAACAGATTTATATGTTTAAATGTTATTTTAAATTAATCAATTTAAATACAAAACTGAAGCAGTCAATTATATGGCTTTTAACTAACTAGAAGCTATCCATACACGGAACATTTTATGGACATTTCCTTCTGCATGCAAAAATAGCAGTCAGTGATGCTGCAAAATTCACTGCCTGCATCAGCCACGAAGAAGAATACCCCAGGCAGCACATAGCTGCATACCTCCTTGTGCTGAAAGGAATGACTCTGCTATTTCTCCAAAACTGGAGTAAAAACAGTTCAGGCTTTGAATTTCCACACAACAAGGCAACTGTTGCAGAGTAGTGGACTGGGGCAGATTTTGTTTTATATGTCATTTCATACAACAGTAATCAGCTTTAAGGTGCAAACTTTTATATAAAGCTTATAAGACTCACTGTCATCATTATATATACTGGTAAGCAAGCAGAGGTGTCTGCAGAGGGGAGTCAAAAAAAGTCAAGATGGTGGCACCATCCATATGATCAAAGCCTTGCCCTTTCCTATGTGCGTCATTTCCTGGTGTTGTCTTTTTCAGACTATGTCTATTAGAACTGACACAGCTCTAAGAAAAGTTCTGTTGATTATGTTATACAGTAGCACTATTTCTATCAACTCTTATGAAATATATTTTTGGCAGACTAGTAACTTAACACTTGTACAGATTAACCTAGTGAGTAGGGCTTCTACATTAACTAAATAAAAAAGGAGAACTGAATTTACAGTGACAGTTTTAAGAGGGTTACTCCAGAATTATGATTATCTTATTTTTAATACAGTATGCTCGATTCATTATTTTTGATGCACACACTCTCTATAATCAATTTGTCAAAGAACTATTTTGACTACACTGTTATAATGTTAAACTCAGAGGACTATATCCAATGATATGCAAGTAGCTTCCACTCCTACAACAAGATATTCCAGCCAAACAGCCTTTCCATTTCCTGGACCTTCTCAGCCTAATTTAAAGTGAACCAAGTTTGATCCAGGCTGTTTGGGTTACTTGTGGATATACTCAGATATCAAGATTGTGAACAAAGTCATGTCTAAATGTTTCTGGTTCAAGAGTTCATAAAAAACCAGGCATCCAACACTTTGCCTTTTTGGCCAGTCATTGAGTATGGCCAGTGATCAATCATCAGTGCTTGCTGACTATCAGTTCAAGGTGGCTAGTAATTGAATGCCATGTTCTACTACCTCAGGTTCCAGCAGAATCGTTCCTAAACAGCTTGCCATTCCCCACTTTACAAAAAGTGTTGTTAGGGTCCTCATTCCCCTATGCTTCATGTATTATTGCATGCTTACTGTATTTGTGGATTGATTGATTGATTGATTGATTGCCAGGATTTATACATCACTTCAATCATCTGAATCTATTGTTATGAAATACATCCTCACAAACACAAGCTGAAAACTCAAAATCTTTTCACTTCCCATGGCAGCAAACCTCAATTGCTTTTCAAACCCGTATGACCTGAATGCTGGCATACCAGCCATTCTGCATTTCAGCACCTTTTTCTAACCATGAAAGCCAGCACATTGGTTTCATGGGAATCTAGGAGCTGGAAGAAAATGCACTGCAGAAATCCCCACTGGCAGGAGCACAGGCTGCTCCTTTAAGTGAAAGGTGGGAATATGCTACTATTTTTGAAATTGTCTTTGCCCAGCTGTAACAGTATTTCTCTATTCAGCGACAAAACACCACTGTCAAAAAAATAGATCATGACTGCTAACCCTTGGTGACAATACTATGGGATTGATAGGTGTCACCCCACTGCCTGCACCATTATCTGGAGGGCCCCAATGGGCATTATCCCTGCCCACATACCCTCTACCCTCCAAATCTATTTATGCTACTCTGAATACTTGAAAAAACCATACACATGCGCATGCGCACACACATGCATATAAACATACCCACATATACTTATATTGGCAGAGTAAAAGACTGCATATTCTTCATATGTGTGTCTGCATGTGTATGTGTATGAGACAGAGAGAGAGAGAGTGAGTTTTGAACAATTTCATGCTATAATCAAAAGCAACATTTCAATCTGCTTAAAGATGAAATTGTTGTAATCAGTATATATTATCTGTGCTGACATATGATTGAAAAAGATGGACATTAAATGCAAAAGCTATACAGAATTTGAAAGTTTTGCAAAGAAACAGTGAATGGTAAATGCTTAACATAATACAATGTAACAAGAAACAAAACATATGGATTCACCAACAGACTGGAGTATATGATACAATAAAGCAGTTAGCTTCACAGATATGGCAGTGGGCTGGCCATATTGCATAATGAACGGATTAATGCTAGACAACAACAGTCCTCAACTGGATTCCAGTTGACTTTAAAAGGTTCAGAAAATGGCCAAATAAATGCTGGGCAAATGATGTCACTCAGTTCAAAGGGGTTAACTGGGAATGATTCGTGCATGTCAAAGCAGTTGGCAAGCAGCTGAAGAGGCCTTCAACCTGCAGTGGATTGATCTGGGGTGGTAATAGTGACGATGACTCATATACAAGCATATTAATTCTTATACATTAGTCCACAAGTCCCTATATGAATTAATTCTCTGAAGGTGGTTAGGAACAACACAATGTAATTAGCACTAATTATGTAAGTCTTATAGTAATTAATATACCCTACATGGTATGAGGACCCAATAGGTTGAGTTTTAAGGTTCAATCTATTACTAATATATGTATTTTTCCTATGGATTTAACATAGGAATCATTAGTTTGCTATTTAATTACTACAGCTACAAAAGAGTGCATTTAAGTTTTGCTTCAGTAAATGACTAAAAGAATTTTCAATAAACATCAACACAAGGTATATCACAACTTAACAGAATTGTCATAAAACTTCACATAGCACTTATGAGATCATTTCAGCAGTATAGAGCAAAACATCCTAATTTATTTTTCAGGTTCATTTAATAAAATGGCACTACCAGATAATGATGTTAGCACAAAACTTTAATGTTAAACCTTTACCCACAAACTTAGAAGTGTCAAACCAAAACAGTAAAACCATTTCAAAATATGAAATGTACTCTTTCGCTGTACTGTTATTTATGGTTGTTAAGGATTGGCATACCTGAATTAAAATGCTATTGTTTAATAGAATGCTAATGTGAAAAGAATCTGGTTATCCAAGTATGAGTTATTTCTTGAAATAAAGGTCTAGATAACAACTGAATTCAATGCTATTAAATAAGAACTGAATAAAAATGTTGGTAGCAATTCTGCAAGGAATCTGATTCCATTTCAGAATTTAAACCTCATGCAGATTCTGTCAAAAGTAATTCCACCTACATTAAATGCATTTTGTTCACCTGCGCATGTAAGTACACATGGATCAAATTATGGCTTACTTGCTGGTAGTGTATTCAGATATGCCATGGGCAAATATGTATGGACAAATGCCATGGAGTATTTATCTGACATACATAAATGGTGACCAACTTGATCAAACATGAATACATGTTTGGAGAAACACAAAGTTTTGTCAAATCAACTTTTTTCAAGACTTCATGTAGAAATTCCTTTGTGATTGTGTGTAAAGCCTTGATAAATAAATAAACAAACAACATAGCTTGAAGGTCCTATTCCCTAACACAAAAGACTAACTTTAGGCTAGTTCATTTCAACACTTTAAGGAAGATACAGTGATTATCCCTTTTCACTAAGCCTTGCCTAGCCCTGTAGCTTGTTGGACTGAAAAGGCTACCTCTGTCTGTATGTTTTCTACTGACTGCTAAACAGTCATTCCATCTCACACTCAAAACTTTCACTTCAGCAATAAGCCCTTCTGGCCATTTGATCCTGTTAAGTAGAGTTCAGGCTTCCGCTTTGCCATCATCATCCTATCCTTTCCTTTGTCTCTTTCTGAAATGTATTCTAATTGGGCATTTGAAACCTGGGGACAGTCTAGGAAATGTTGCTACAGGCCAGCAACGTGAGTCAGAAAACATCTGGATTCCCTGATCCTCACTGCTTCTTAGTCATAATTCCTGCCGCCCACTTTCCCATCTGGTGTTGTGGTTGCCTCCTTCCTTCTGCTCCAGTGAGAATCCCACATATCCAATTTATGTTTCCATGAAAAAGAGGCAACCAAGTTTGAATGGGATGTTATTATGGTGGCCATTGTTACTTTCAACATCTCAGTAATATGACTCTATTTAATCTCTTTTTTGTTGTCCCACTTCCTTCAGTGCAGGGGTGTCATTCATCTACTTCTTTTGTTTTTTAGATCCTAAACCTTCATCACGTTAACCATCTCCATCCTTTCTCTATTAGGAAAATAACAACAGACCACTGATCTATCAAGCTCAGACTGGCAGAAATGTTATGAAATGTCATGCAGTGATTTACACGAGATTTTACCTGTGCAAGGCTATGTCCTGTATGAGCCTTTAACAGGAAATATCCAAGATGTAATCATTCTCTGTTTAAAGCATGTTTGCACTCAGTTAATTATGCCTTGTCTTTTGGTCTTATATTTTAAAACTTATTGGTACTGGACAAGATATAAAACTATTCCCACAAAGTGAAGACAATGCCACCCACGCAAGCAGAACTTTTCCTTC